TCTAAACAATGCCTAGAGGGGGGTAAATAGGTGTATCTAAAATTTTTGCGTAATCTCAAATTCAAATGTCAGTGACAGACAGAAATCCCGACAATTTGGGCCAAAACTTCCAGCAGCCGGAAGTTCCGACGCAAACAGCCGAGAGTTCCGGCACCTATGAGAATAGCACTACAAGTGCTAAAACAAACTTTGAGTGAAAGATATCTTACAACCCCACTCCCTAGTGGTAAGATGAAGTGTTGGGGTTGCTCCTTTGACGCCAGAAGATCACCACTCCGTAGATCGAGTCCAAAGCATAAGAGGAGTGTTGGGGAGGAAAACAAACCAACAAGAACAAATATGATAGCACAAATCACAATAACAACAAGCATGCGGGACACAAGAATTTATCCTGAGGTTCGACAACCCCACAAAGGAGCTCCTACGTCCTCGTTGCTGAGGAGACCATAAAGGTCGGAGTCTCTTCCACCTCCTTGTCTCTCTCTCAAAAAAAACCAAAAGGTCACTCGAGCTTTCCACTGAGAAATCAAGGGTAATACAAACTTCCCAAGGCTCTTCCATAAAATGGAAGCTCTTGGACGATGCCTAGCCGGCTAGGGTTCTAAGAACCCAAGAGTAATAGACGCAAATCCAACTGGCTTGATGAAGAAATCAAGTGCTCAAGCTTACCAAAGGGATTCTCTCACTCGATCCACTCTCCTTTCACTCAAAACCCTAGGGGAATCGAAGATTGGAGCAAAGAGGACAGGAGATGGGAGCCTAGAATGCTTGGGAGCTATTTTGGATGAAGGTTGGTGAGCAATGAATGAGTCCTCTAGTTAGAAGAGAGGAGAGAGCTATTTATACTCAAAGGCAAATCCAACCATTCAGATCTGAGTCGGAAGTTCTGACATAGATCGCCGAAACTTCTGGCTCAACGCAAAAACACTGTTCATGCAGATAGTCCACTGGGCTTGCTCGCATATCGTCGGAACTTCCGGCGGTCGCCAGGGCTTCCGACATACATGGTAAGCCAGGCGACTAAGTCCCAAAGCCTCGGGACTTCCGGCACCCGGATCTCCCGACTCCTGTCGGGACTTCCGATGGGCGAAGATGCGTAGGTGGGCTGTAGCTAAGTCAACAAGCGCCGGGACTTCCGGCACCAAATGTCGGGACTTCTGACAGCCGGAACTCCCGGCTCACGCCGAAACTTCCGACTATCAAAAGTCCACAAATTATGTCCAAGTGTTCGTGAGGTGATTTTGTGTCTCTCTTTTGATTTTACTTTTATGCTTGAGCACTCTATCTTCCTGAGACCACCTAAACTTGTATCCCTCTTTATAGTACGACATACCTAAACACAAAACAAAATAAAAAGGCTTTGGAGAGCGCTTTGGGTTCGTCCGCTTTTTTGCACTTGAAGAATTGAGGGATACCATTTCATCTTAGATCAACTCTTTTAAAGCTTTCAAGGGACTAAAGCTGCAATATATGTCATTAAGATCTCATTAGTTCCTAATTTGAATGTCATCAATACACCAAAACCCACATAGGGGGCAAATGCACTTTCACATTTGTTTCAAACCTTTTTTCAAAGAGTTGTCAAACTCATTTCATAACGCCACTTCTATGTGCAAATCATTTGTTAGACCTCCCAAGTGGCACTAGACAATTGCAAAGCTAACACATTTGCACATCGTAATAGTAGGAGTATCTAGCTTGCCAATCCGGTCATTTCACGTCCTCTAATCATCTCATGATAGGCTAAACCAAGCCCTATTGTTATACTTTTTGCCTAAGCTTTCCAACGTGCTTTGCCATATCCACCATGACATTTATGTAGCTCAAAAACTTTGTGTCAACTACACTGTTACCTTTCATATCTCACATGAAAAATGTTAGAGCACGTGTGTTGTCATTAATTAACAAAACCCAAATGAGGGCCTATATGCTTTGATTGATAACAAGCAAAACAATCTATATTTTCTGGATAAAGTCTATTTGACTTGTCTAAACTATCAACATTGTTCGATTTACCTCCCACGTGGCTAACATGGCGCCGTGTCAATCAAAACCACCCAAAAAGATGGATGACAGAAAAAGGTCCTCAGTGAGATTTATACTTCATCACATCACATATAATCCGCATGTTCCTCTATGAGAAGTATTTCACATCACATATATTTTGCATGTTATCCAACTATATGGTTTTATAAAAATTGACGATTAAAGATACATACACACTTGACTTGGTTTGGGGCTTTTAATCAAGAGAAGCCACGGAGAGAGAGAGAGAGGGGAGGGTGAAAAGTGAAAGGGAGAGTAAGGGGCCAAGGGGGGTTTGGGGAAAAAAATGTCCACCTAAGACTACATAGCTCACACAGCAGTCACGGTGTACACTGCACATTATCTAGGATAAAAGCTTCAAATGAAAAGTATGGATCTTTAGTAATCACTTAAATAGTTTGTTACGTAAGAATATACTTTTAAAGCTGATGGAACTAAGTGACACTAATGGACAATTTGATGGACTGACAGTGGATTTTACTAACTCATTAGTTAATCTTTTATAGTAAACTTATTTGGACAGTTAAATTATATACTATTTTTATAAAATTAATTATACTTAAGAAAATGACTTGGTCTAAATTTAGAATTACACTCTTTTTTTAAGGAAGAGTATGTCTCTTTGCGTTGTCTCGTGCTGAATAACAAGGGCGCGCAGTCAAAACACGCTTGTTGCAACCAGCGATAGGGACTGGCACGTGATTGTTGGTCGTTATCGAGGCTGAATTTTTTTTATATTTTTAATTAGAAAAATGTCACAACCAAAAAATCGCATATACTTTGACGATATTGTGATATTAATTTACCACCAAGTGAACCGGCAGAATTACCTTATCGCTGATTGAAACGTCACAATTTTTTTCCTAGATTATATATCCTAAAAAAGGATAACTTTTTCATATGGTCCTAATGGAGATAGAATTTATATAAAAAATTTAGTGCTTGACAGGATATACGACTATGATTTCATTACTTTGACGTTTGAAACCATCATGATTCCTAAATAATCGATACAATGCTCAGATCTGAATCCAATATCGAATGTCGATTATTTGAAAACTGAGATGAATTCCAATGGAGTCTTAGTGAACTACATTTATAGGTCTCATCGAGATTTACAATTTTTATATAAAATCTATTTTTCATGCGAAATCATATGAAAAATTACGATTTTTTGTATATATGCTATGCTAGTGAGTTAAAAAATCAAGCGTTATTTGTTCACTCTATCACGTAATATATCTCTAAAAGTCATAACCTTTTCATATGACCACGTATGAAGATAAAATTTATATAAAAAATATAGAGGACCTATAACTTTGTAGTCCATTTTTTTTGTCTAAAGTCATATTGGTGCCAAAATAATCGATACAAGTTCCATTCCATATCTATATTTGTAGATCTAACTGTTGTATCGATTGTTTTAACACTAAGATGACTTCAAAAGGGAAAATTACAAACTTCAAAATTGCAGGTTTCATTGAGATGTACAATTTTTTGTGTCTCTATCCGATTTTATATAAACAGATTATAAATTTTTTTAAACATGGTGCCAAAAGAAAGTTCCGCCATTTGAATTTTCTGTAAGGGTAATCCCGCTGGAGATAAGTTGATTTCCTCGTATCAATTGACAATGCTGGTTAGATATGCATTTTTATTTTGCAGAAAACGAATTAAAAATAAAAAAGTGAGACGGTGACTGGCCCAGCAACTCAAGCCCAGCCATGCAAAAGGTTTCTTCACTTGTGAAATCCTGGGTGGGCCGAACTCCGCCGGATGTATTGCTGGACGGCCCAAGCATGGCTCCACCACATTGCTGGACAGCTAGGGGAAAGCACAGGTTAAACAGCTGATGATGTATTAGTACCATTATACCATACCGTGGAGCTGCTAGACTTACGGTTATGTGGTCTGTTACAAGAGGAAGGGCTGTGTCTCTGCAGCAAGGCACGCAGCTGCGTGGTGAGCACAAAGCGAACTATTCTTTCGCCTTTTACTAAAGAATACCGTGTGCTCGCCACAATTAGCAGCATACGCTAATTTTTGGAGGGTGATCTCCTATTTAAGGAGGGCCCCAACAATACGAATTCAATTTGATTTTTGAAATTTAACAATCTGAATTCAATTTGTTTTCGTGCTTGTTTTTGTTTTCGTGCTTGTTTTTGGAGGGTGTTCTCCTATTTAAGGATGACCCAAACAATATAAATTCAATTTGTTTTTTGAAATTTAACAATCTGAATTCAATTTGTTTTTGAAATTTAGTGCTCAAATCTTAATAAGAGTTCAACTGTCACTATTTTTTGGTTTGTGTTGTCCTTAAATAGCCAATATTATTTCAATTTGTTTTCAAAATGTAATGCCAAAATCTTTAAGACTTAAACTGCTGTCGTTTCATATATATACATACGCCTGTCTTGTATCAAATTGAAAATCATCTTATTCTGAATCTCTGTCAGCAGGGAAGATGCTCTCGCCTAGTTCTTGCTTTAGTATTTGTCATTCATGTAGATTCGTCTAAAAGTTTTGTTACGGCACTTGTTTACTACAATCTGCAGATAATAACGCACGCTACAAATCATTGATTGGAGCGTGCCCAGGTATTTTGCTGGACAATGGATATAGAGTACATATACCAGAACGGAACTACGAGAAATACGACATTTACAGTCAGTCAGAAAACAACAACGATAGAATGCAAACAAGTCTGAGAAAGAAAAGATAGAATGCAAACAATGTTATTCGCACAATCGATGACCCGTAATAGTGACATCACTAACTGGAGAAGTTACAGCAAACTAGGCCCATTTTCTTACTTTACAATCAATGGCCCGTAACAGTGCCATCAGTACATAGACAGCAGGCCTCATTACTGAAACAACAAAAGCTCCTTCCATTGTGCAAAATCAGAAGATATACCGGCATAAGATTGCTATGACAAATCTGAACATTACGTGCTAATGGCTAATATTAAGATTTTCCATCTCGTTCACCACATCATCAGCTAACTTGGCCTGTAGAGATCCAAGGCACTTTTCAAATCCTTCAAGGGCTGCAAAGGTGCTCTCAGGTGAGCCGCCAAGGTTCCCTATTTCCTTGCGCATCCCGTTGATGCCATTGTACAGTCTTTTTATAGCGAGCTTCATCTCAGATGAGTCTTGTGGTGGGTACACAGAAGCCCCAAGATCATTGACCTGGTCGGCAATCTCCTTGCAATGGCTCAACAATTTTTCCATTGGCTCAACTTTGTCCTCATTAGCAACATCTTTGTTACCAGAGCTCTTGAGCAAACCAGTAATGAAACGAATTGCCTCTTTCACTACAACCAGGGAATCAGATGTCACAGTAATAACCAACTTGGCAACAGCAACCTCTTCTTCAGTGAAATCATCATCACCATCATCATCTAGATCAAGATCAGATATCTCCTCTCTATCAGAACAACTTGCTGTGTCAACAACAGCATTGGAAGACTTCTCATCAGTACTATGACCAGAATCACCAATAGGGAGCTCATTCATTTCCCGGAGAACATCTTTCAGATACACGCCTATCTTGGTCATAGCTCGTCCTATGGCAATACAGTTTGATGTAGGCACCTTCTTGAGAGCAGCACAAGCTTCCCATACAGTTCCTGTAACCTGGGGTATAGTTGTGTTGCGGTCAGGGCTGCGAGATTCTGCATTAGATTAAAGAAAGGACATGTTAGCCCAATTAAAAATCTTCTGAGGGATCAACATAAATGACGTGCAAGACTTGATGGTGAAAGTAATAGATTGCATGTTTGTTGTTATTTCAGATGTCCTTTACTATTTATCCACTCGAGGACTAGAATCACAATACAATGCAACCAACAAAGTTACAATGTCACATGCTCCCCCTCACTTCAAATATGTGGAATTCAAATCTTTACTCATGTGACTATTTCTTCATCAAGATTGCTTTACACTGAATTCTGACTAATGCCTTCCAAATAAAAAATAAGTACGGTCTATTGGAAGGCATCGTTACAAACAACAGCACCTTGGAAGGTTTTTTACATACCATAAGCAGAAACAGCATGCTTGAACAACGAGAAACTGGAGTCAACCACGTTCTTTGCAGAACCACAGATGGATTTGTGAAGAGTAGGCCCAGCACCAACCATGCTTCCATGGCAAACCAAAAGAAATCCCTGTAGGATGTTGAAATAAGCAACGATGTTCTCCTTGAGGGTCTCTACATCAGGCAAGTCACCGCTCCAGAGCATTCCAGCTGCAGCAAAAGACAAGCATAGGCCAACAACCATCAATGCCAAGTCGCATCATCAACGAAACAGTATCGCTTTACTGCAACCAGATGGATGGTGTATACTAATGACCTAAAGGTAGCTAGAAACAAAGTGCCAAATACCTATAGAGGTAACACAGATACTCTCCTACATTCAGCAAAGAGATTATGCACACTTCAGCAACTGGAACATGCCAAGTTAATTTCTATACCGGAATTTGACCTCTTATGTTATGGGCGTATTAATTCCTATACCTGTCAAACTTCTGAGTTGAAACACACTATGTACATCCAGAGAAATTCCCCATCAATTCAGTTACATATGCATGCTCTGAACAGCTAAGCTCGCGAACTAGCACATGAAATCGATCAATTTTGGACTTACCGACGGTAGCCTGCCTGGAGACTTGGTCGCCGAGCTTAACGACCTCATACCACTCCGTCCGCTCCAAGCTCCCCGGAGCCGACTCCGCCATCATCTGACAAACCAAGAGCAAACAAGCGTGTGAACCGCGCCGGCGAGGTTATCGCGTGGGATCGGAGCTGTGCCAAGACCGCGGTTGGTTGGGTCGTACTCGTACCTGGAAGGTGTCGCTGATGGCCTGGAGATGCGACTCCAGGAAGCGGGACAGCTCGCCGCCGCCCGCCGCTTTCTTCGCTCGTCCTCCTTTCTTCGACATGGCGACGGCCCTTGTGGTGTGTCGCGTTGGGGCTGGGAAGAGGAGGGCGGCGCGAGCGGCGAGGAGGAGCCGACGGGGACAGGAAGCGGCGGCGGCGGCGCGGCAGCGGAGGGTTTATGCGCGGCGTCTCCAATAGATGACCCAGAGACGCCCGAACCCAAAATTGACAGGAGCCAGAGAGATTTATTTTAGGTTGTGTCTATAATCTAGGTCACTAATCTAAATGAAGCCATAAAAGCTCTACGGTGGATAAAATAAACTTCACCATCTCTTCTGAAAATTCATTTATTTTTGGCTCCTTCCCACCCCAAAGCTCAGTAAGATTGTTTTGATATCGGTGAGAAGATGTCAAAAACGGCTCCAAACGGCTCCTAAAGTATCAAATCTTTATAAGTATTATCTCTTTTGAAAAATCATTTACAGAAAAAATTCTCTTTTGGGTTTTAATATTGAAGAAGATGTCGAACAGGTATCGAACCTTTTACCTATAGTGCTACTCAAACGTCAAACGTTAAATGGATCCTCTATTTGGGGGTGTTGTCGGTGGAGATAGTCGCTGGGACTCTGGACTCTCGACGATGATGATGTCGGAGTTGCGCGAGCCGTACGAGACACATCAAGATTCGTGCGAGTGTTAGTATCTCACCAGTTAACAGCATATAGAAGGCTAGCTCTGTTCCCTACGAACTCGAGCAAGGTTTAAATTTGTTTGGATTATGACCAAAACTCTGGAAATCCTGTTCCTTTTTTTAGGAGATCCTGTTCCTGCCTTCCTTGTATTTGCTTGGATTGTTTTGGCATTGTGCCTGTTGCAAAATGCAAATCGCAATGATGGATCTGGCCGTGGGCTGTATGAGAATATGAGATGTTGTAGACTCTGAATCGCTGAACATTTAGGTCGTGTTGCAAACTTGCGACGCATATAGGCTACGGTTCTGCCATGGAACTCTATAGTTTATCTGACCAACCCAAAAATTGTGTGTGTTCTTTTTTTTAAAAAAAATTGAAGGATCAAACCATCAAGGCCTTCAACTGGACTGGTGAGAAACTGAATAACTGATACACCATCCAAGATAACGATAGGTGCTACAGAACTGTGCATTATTGGCCCAAGAAGTTTGGAACCCAAATATGCAGTGATCTTGCTTTATTGTTTAATTACACCTGGTTATGATGCTGCAGTTATATCAATTATTCATCAATCTCATGTTGACAACAATGATCTATTTGTGACAAACCAAGCCCTGCCAGGAGCAGCAGAAAAATGGGGCTCCCCTAAAACGTAAGTTACATCACATATCATATCAAATATGTACAACGCCTATATAAAAATGAAAAAGAAAAGAAAAAGGCGAATTGAAATAATCTGAGATAAGTTCTTGCAATCTATCACAGCTGCTTTCTCCTGAATCTTTGGTGACTCCTCCATGACCATGAAAGCAAGAAAATCACAAGTGCAATCCCAACCGAGCTCCAAAAGATGATCAGCCAGGTAGGCATTGGGTCATGAAACAGCCCTGCTCAGATTGCTGAATGTCAGGCAAACGGTTTGCAGAACATAGTCTTTTTTCCCTCCCAAACATATATCAGATTGTAATACTGAATTGACAGGTGAAAGAGGAAGCTCACCATGCCCAAACTTCATGCAGATAAGCAGCTCCACTATGCATATAGCCAGAGAGAGCCAACAAAAGGCTCCAACCTTCTTCACCGGTTTGCTGTGATGAGTGATGACCAAAACCAGCACCAAATATCAGTAAATCAAAAAATAAAGTTCAAATTCTGTTCATGCATGCTGTTGCTAACAAATGAACGGCACTCTTGGACTAACCTGTCTTGTAAGTAGGAGTTGTACTCGCGGATGGTAGGGATGGCAATCAGCCACCAGAGGATCAATCTGTACACGACCAAGGGATTCCTTGGAGGGATCCAAAGGCAAAACTTAAGGAAGAATGTGTTAAGCTCCACGGTCATGAAGACAACGCAGAGGAACAGCACTTGGATGAACCGCAGTGGCCCCATGAAAGGATGCCACTGATCCTTATCCCATTGAGCAGGAGTGAACTGGCTCAACGATCTTTTCACCTGCAAGCCAAACGAAGAGAGTGAAACCAGTCTGCCGGTCTGCACAAGTTGCGTTCAAGTTATAATATCAATTCACACTGAATTCTCAAATTGCTAATGTTCAGGTGCTCCATACGTTCCTGAAGAACTAACAACACAGTTGAACTATTTCAGTTCGTGTTTATAACCTTGTTTTGTCATAGCTTAATTGGAAATATTCCTTCTGAAACAATTTAAAGCTCTTAAATATTCTGTTTCTTATGACATGATAGAAAAACTTCCAGTCAATCTCAATGATAGACACAAATGTTTTTGTCCTAGGACAACATATGGCCGGGCAAGCCTGATTACAAGTTTGACTGTCTGAAACAGATGCACTATTCACATGTGGGTGCAGTTTATAAGATAACAGTGCATGCATAACTGTATGCAGAAAAACAAATTGTGAAGAAACTTCAGGGCTCAATAGTGACAAAGATCAGATTTGGACAGCACAACAGAAATGTGATCAGGCCCACTGGGAAACATCACATGTTGTCTGGCATCTCACATGCAAGAAGTCAAAGCTAGTTACTTTGACCTTCGAAAAAAAGCTAGTTACTTTTGCTCAGTAAACTGCATTGCTTTCGAGTCACTTGTCTTGGACTATCCTTTGGAAAGTTGCTGTCGGCTGTCCTAACTCAGAGGAGTATCCATGGCATGTAATTCATATGAGAAATATAACGCAAGATCCAAGGGAGACCTGACAAGTACAGATGATCTGGGACTTTGGGCCACGGTTATAAATGACAGTGGAAAAGAACCGGCACTGATCTGTAATCCATCATGCTACCACTGTTCTGTTTTACTTGTTTCAGACTTCAGCAGTGTCTAAAACATGCATTTTTTTTTCAAAACATTTTCCTAGTCATATGCAGGGAAAATACACGGACATTATGATAATAAGGATGTGACTACTTTCTCCTACCAGAGGTCAAAGTTTTGGAAGTTTAATTTGATGCATTCTAAAAGAACAACTATTTAGGAACGAAGGTCATATCTATATAGTGATTAAATTATGAGAATAGTAACCAGCCATGAAATGGAGAAACCATGCGTCTGTTAAGGTCTTGTCAGTGAACATACCTTACCCATGATGCTTCGTTGGCGGCTCAATCCAACCCATTCATACGTTTTACCATCAAAGTAACGGACTGTGTGCATTCCTGCCCAAATACCTGGATAAAAAATAGCAGCATTTCAGCTGAAAGCAAGGAATTATCATTGACAAATAATGCCACAAATGCCAGCAATTCTTCTTGGATTCCCATGGCCATGAGCATAAGACAAGCTTAAGATGTTGATTTATTAAATAGAAAGTTTACTTTCTATGCACCTAGTGACATAAAATTAAATATTCTAGTCAAATAATGCGATGTCAGAAGTATGTCAATGATGTATTAGTTTTTATTTTCCTTTCTGACTAATGGATACAATTGATAGGATCTGATGCCAAGAAACTGTATAAAATCAAGAAATAAGAGAACATGTCGGCTGCTTAACTCTAACTTATTGCAGACCACATTAATGTAAGCAAGGTAACTGAATGTATGAGACATGAACATTAATTATCTTCAAATGTCTCACCAAACCAATTGCAGATCAAGATATCCAAGATAATGCTATCCCACCAGCACTCATTAAAGTTTGGCAACATATGTCTGAACGTTAGCTGCAAAATGTCATAGTAAGCATACTTCCTTGTCAAAAAGATGACAGGAATGAAAAGATATCTTTAAAGTCCTTTTAAATAGGGCACTCAGATCTAACCTCCATTAACTCAAAGCCAATCGACAAGACCCAAAGGAGAAGTTGATTTCGTATCATTACAGCTTTGCCCCACCACCCAAGGATATGGGCAACAACAAATTCATCAAACAATGTCTCCTATACATAGATCAGATAGTCTAGTTTTAATAGAGTAATAGCAAGGATGACAAGCAGAGCATGTGCATCTTCACAGAATAGGAAGGTTCATACAGAAAATCATACATAAATATTTATGAACTTGTTTTTAGGGTTTTCTGGAACATACAAACGGCAATCGGCTCCATAAGATCTCTCTGGCAATTCTGCAATGGAAAAATAAAAGTTTATTACCACCAACATTTAAAAAAAAAATATTACATTTCTTGTGAAACTATTTAACGCAGAAATTTTACCAACTCCAAGATCAGGGTGAAGGTGTTTCATGAACTGGCGAGCATCGTCACGATTCTGGTAAATGAGCAACAGATAAGAACCAACATGCCCTTTACACTGAGTTGTCAGAACTAATAAAATCATCATTTGAACAAAAAGCCAACAATGTAACAGAAGAGTATCTAACTTAAACCCACATGTGGCTAACGCTAACCTGGAAAAGAAGGAAGGTAAGAGCAACGAGGTAAACGACAGCCAGTCCATGTACCAGGCGCCAGACAGCAGGATGGGGCCTAATAAGTATCCTGTGACAAAATTGCCAGGGCACTGAATCAGTATCGTCCAAAAATATCAGCACATTGACCTAAACTGATGTAGTACAGTAGATTTATGCACAAAATTACTGTTGCTTCAGCGCCAATTGACAAACAAGAAACACTGCACTGATAGAGCTCCTATGTTTGATTTGCATTTTTTTTTAATGAATGGAAACTGACAGTGCCTGTTTTTATTGATATATAGAAGAAAAATACAAGCAGAAAGCCATGAGAGGCTATCTGCAAGAAAAAAAAAGGAAATTTACTCACGTTGAAGGTGCCTGAAGCGTGCAGTAGGCAAGGAAGACTGCAATCATAGCCCAGACACCCCTGGAAAGTTTCGGTAAGAAGATGAGTCAGCAATGCTATGAAGGTAAAACAGCTCTGAGTCCAAAAGGCAGCATCAGAATCGAATAGTGGCCTGATTATCTTTTCCGTTTGGAACACATGAAAAGTGGCCTGTTTCTTCTTTTCTTTCTTTCTACTTTTGAAAGTTCAGTGCTGCCTAAACAAGGTCATAATTAAGTCCTGAGATGATTCAGCCATACCTCTTGATTGAAGTCACGCTACTGTGAGCAGCAGCACCTTCAGGATCAAGTGCTCCACTTGCCCAGCTGAAAGGGAAGAACAATTGAATGTGAGGTCAGATGGGACGGCAGCACCACGAGAAAGCGCAAAGGAAACGCCCCACATTTGGTCAGTACGGTTGGTATGGTATCCACCGCTGGGCAGCCTACAAGTTAGTCATGAATTGAGTGTTCCGACTCCCGTGAGGCACGTCTCTGGGATAACTTGGGACCGGGGTTAGCCAGCTAATGGTTGTACCTTAAATTCAGGTCCAAGCTTAATTGGTATCTATCTTCCTAGCAATAAGCAAGGCGGTAAAAAAAAATATGTCACGTGTTTGTTTATCTTAACTTAATGAGCTGAAAATAAACTCATTTCACGCTCGCTAAAGTGTCCAAGGAAAATAATACTATGTATGACTGTTCTGGGAGCAAATTTAAGACAACTTCGTTTTCATGAAAATTTAGCAACAATTTGGCATGAGATACTCGACCAGGGCTGTGGCTCTCCACAGCCACTCGTATCCGACGTGCCAGTCCATTGATCATGCTCCAATTATTCGGTAGCTCGATGCTGTCGCACATATCCACTAAACTCCAACCCAAAAACTATATTTTCATTTGTAAAAAAAACTATATTTTCAGAAAAAAACGGAGGAAAAAAACATAAGAGAAAAAAACAAGAGTGCATGGCTGCGTTTCATCTCTGACACTGTTGCAGCACCTTGTGGTATCCCTCTGGCAGCTCTTGTACTTTGCCCAGCACAGGAAGGCCTTTTCGCACCCGTAAAAATTGCAGCCTTCGAGTCAAGCGGAGTCGTACGAACACGGTAGCAAAAGGCGAAACCAAACAAGGCTCTCCCTCTCCGTGTGCGCCTGTGTGGGGCGCGAGCAAGAGGAGGAGGAGGAGAATTCGAGGGCGCTTGCTTACATGAGAAGGCAGGCGCCGACGAGGAGCACCGAGATGGTGCGCGGCTTGTAGAGCCACGCCGTCCATGGGTCGTACTCCTCGCCGCCGCCGCCGCCGGAGCTGTCCGTCGCCGGCGACCTCCTCTCCTCGCCGTGCCGCGGCCGCTGCTTCGCCTCCATGGATGATGGGAAGGAAACAGCCGCGCCGCCTGCGCCTGTGCCCGCGGCACGCAGCAGAAACCACCTGTCGGAGCAGAGGGGAGGTATGTGCGCAAACCGCCAAATTTGCAGGCCGCGCACCAAAAACCAAGTCAACAAACGAAACGAACATGCATCGCCGCCGTTGCACCTGTGCAACGAACGGTAAAAAGGCGATAGGGGAGAGAGAGAGAGAGGGGGGGAGGGAGGGAGGACGCGAGAAGCGCAAGGCGATTCTACTGTTCCTACATGCAAAGGCACATGCGCAACGTACCGGCGAGGGATCGGCGCCGAGGAGCCCGGGAAATTGGGGTTCGGAAGTGATTCCGGCCGTGCGGGTGCCCTTACACGAATATGATCCAATCCAACAACACACAACACCACGCGTCTACGCCGCAATGGAAACGGAATCGACGGTGACGCGCGCGCGAATTCGGGAATCGGCCGGGGACACGCACGCACGCGCGAGGTGGGAGCTGGGATGAGAGGGGGAGGTCAGCGCCGGACGGCGAGGGGTGGCGGTGGCGTCGTCTTTAAAAGAGGAGGGGGGAGAGAGCGCGACGCGAGACGAGACGAGACGGGGCGAGGCGACGGCATGTCGTTAATCTGTTGGGTTTCGGCTCGATCGATGGGGTGGCGTTCCGTGGTTTCTGCGCGTCTGGCTGGCGTGTCCACGTAGACGCGACGCGTGCGTCCCGGGCGGGCTGGGCTCTGCCTGCCGCTGCTGCTTCCCTGGGGCAGGGGCTCGGGAACCGGCGGCACGCGCGCAGCGCGGAAGCAGAGGCTCCCGGTTGCCCGGTGGCGGTGCCCCATGTGTGTGTGCCCCGGACGCTCTGGCAGGGTCCCGGCTTCCTGGCCGGGCTGGCGCTGGCGCCCCCGGTAGCGTAGGGGCTGGGTACTACTATTATTCGTCGAGGCCGCCAACTACTTTTGTTTCTTGTATTTGTGTGCTTCTGTGTTCTATCTCCGATCTCCGTGCGGTGCGGTGCACCCAAGTGGCTTGCGATTCACGTATTTGGGGCTACGGCTGCAGAGCAGAGCAGAGCAGCGCAGCTGGCTTGGCTGGCTGCTAATGAAAGGGTAGGGGGTTATAAACTTTGCAACCCGTGTTCTATGGATTATGGAACAATGCAAGCTGTTACTTGTTGCCTTTGGGTGATTCGGTGCACCCGTGTTCTATGGAATAGGTGCTTGCATTGCATGCCTATTTGGCCTCGCTCGTGCCGGTCGTCGATAAAAATCTGATCTTGCGTGTTTTTTCCCGACATGCTTTTATTAATTATTCTCGTTTAGCATAATGATGATCCCTGATCGTAGTGCCGATCGCGATTTATTTCGTTTCGTACACGTTTTTTTATTCTTTGTTGGATTTTCGTATAGTTTGTGGTAGCCAGCCCCTAGATACAATACTTCATTCATCCATCAACGTTGGACAGAAAAAATGAAGCGGCTAAGACCTCGAGCCCACCCAACATTACTAAGCTGCAAATAATCCAGGATCTTCAGAACACTTTTTCCTTTGTATTAATTTTTAAAAGAACAGCAGCAGGACACGTACTGACGGTGAATGTTGGGTACACCTGAAAAGTAAAAGGAGCAGTGGAGGACGCGTCAGAGAGGAGAAACGATCCGCGCCAACAGTGAATATTCCCAACAGAGGCCTTGTTTAGATACCTTTAAAATTCCAAGTTTTTTCACTCTTTCTTCGTCACATTAAATTTTAGCCGTTTGTATGGAGCATTAAATGTAGGTAAAAAAATAACTAATTGCACAGTTTAGTTGAAAATCACGAGATGAATTTTTTGAGCTTAGTTGGTCCATGATTGGACAATATTTATCAAATAAGACGAAAGTGCTACTATTCATCGGTTTGAAATTTTTTTCAATCTAAACAAGGCCAGTACTAGGAGCAGAGAGCGGATCAGCGAGGGGTCGACACGGCGGCGCACGGGGTGGGCAGGGGACAAAGCGCGCCGCTGGCGTACGATCCTCAGCTTGGCGCTTCGTGGCCGCGCAGTCAACCCCGCACGCCCGCGCCCGCACCAGCACCACCGCGGCCTCCGCGGCTCCGCCTCAGCGCTAGCCCTCTCCTCCTTTCGGCAGCGCGTGGCCAGGGGCGGAGGCGCGCGTGGCCGCAGCCAAAGCGCCAAGCGGACAAGGCCGCACGGGCGTGGGGGCGTGCGCGCCCGGGTCCGGCCGTGCCAAATTGACCGGCCCAGCAGCAGACATTTGATGGTTGTGTCACCTCACCTAACAGGATGCCGTGCCGACGAGTGCTCTCCCCGTCCTCCCGTCTTTTGTTTGCGGCCGCCTGTTTGCTGGTGGTAACAGCAACAACAACGGGTTTTTTACACTGTCCGTCTGGTTCTGATTCTGATTCTGATTCTGATTCTGACGGAAGAGAACACTGCGTGCGGTGGTGTCTGGTGTCAATTGTCATGCTCGGGTCTCTCGACGTGGGAAGATCGATCTCATCTCAGACACGGGTAGAAATTCTGTTGGTTGCGTTGCGTGTGGACTGATGGACCTCCTGCGATCCGCCTCCAAGTTAGCAGTGGCCGAGTAATTAAACGCTCAGGGCCTGTGTTTGGATGAGAGGATTTTCACAGGAATTTCAAAGCAATAGAATTCCTTTGTTTTGCTGACACCGTACACCGTTTGGAATGGAGGAAAGCAGCCAGCCGTTCCAGAGACTAGAGGAAAGGAATCACTTGCTTCACAAAAACACGCGAAAAAAACCATCCACTCCGAGCTGTGGTTTTGTGGGACACCGAGGCGAGTGAAGGGAAAAGAAGCATTTGGGGCGCCGAATTTGAAGCCTGAGAACCGGTGCAGTGAGCCGAAGAAGAACAGGCAGCCATGGCACCACCGCCGTTGCCCCATGCCTACCTCGTCGAGTCGTCGAGCAGCAGTTCCCTGCCGCACCGCCCTCCATGCGTGGATCTGCACCCGCCGCTCTCCTCGGCATCGCGGTCCATCACTCCATCAGCTGCAGCTCACGGCCAGCCAGCTGCTTCCCCTTCGATATGGATCTTCGCCATAGAGAATAGGCGACGATGAGAACGATGCAGTCCAAGGGGATGATAATGAATGGACGATGGACTGGACCATGAAGCTTCTCGGATCAGCAGTATGGTGGGTCAAACATGTCAGTAGCTTACACAAGCAATTTCGTTTGAAGCCTATCCACTCGTGGGACCCGTGTTAATCTAGTTTCCTATGTTTAGGATTCATGCATTCAAAACACATTTTGGTAAGTTTTTCCTGCGTTTTTATTTTATCTGTTTTGCTATTACACATCTATCATATTTCTGTATTCAAAACTCAGCTCGTTCGGCTGGAATGCAGACCTTTTATTCCTGCACATGTCTACGAGTTGGAGAAGATATTTACCAAGCACTTCTCTCTGAGAAGTTATTTAAAAAAAAAATTGGAGAGCCTTATTTTTTCTTTTTACCAAATGCTAAATTAGGAAGTTGTTTTAAGTAGTTTTGGAGATTCTCTTACTCACGGGTGCCTATGAGTATGCAAAATACAAGCGTTGCCTGATGTGTCCACTCGTCCGGTTACATGTGGCTCAACCCAGCTAAAACTCTTAAGGCCTTGTTTGAATGTTATCGGATTCAGTTTAATCTAATCCACCCCAACACATGTGGATCGATGCGAATCCGATTAGATCTAAATAAGACCTATGTCCAGTTATTTTCATCTTCTATTCTATGACCGACCGGTCTTAGATGCTTTTATGTGATTGTGTTATTGTACATGTGAACTGAGGGTAAAATGTGAGCCTGTGGCTATGAACTTACGAGGCTATAACAATCAAGCATGAAGCTTGAGATGTTTCCTAGTACTACTCCTTTGTTGCTAGGCGTGTCATTTTGTGCCGTTACTTATTGCTCGTATGGCAATATAGGTACCAAATTCGTACTATACTTATGACCAAGTGGCACATAGCTTGGTGTCGTGTCATGAATAGACCCGGCCCGGTAGATATCCAGCCGGTGCGGTTACAAAATCTCGCCCGTTACGCATTTGTGGGTGCGAGGAGGTTTCATGTTCCAGTAGGTTGGATAGATATATTACTATGATGTAAATGATGAAACGTTATCAGTATGGTCCCAATCACTCAGCGACACCAGGTTTTGGTTCCTTCGTGAATGATAAAGCCGGTAGCATATTGTATATAAAAAAAAAGCCGTAGCATATTCTTCGTCGATACCGCCTAAAGAATCTTCTCTCCTTCATAGTACTAGACGCCACTTTTCTTTTTTTTTTAATTACACAGTATAACGCCGACGCTCACAACATACACACACTCACTTTTATGAACACACGTACGCAAACCCTATCCTTATGAGCACCTTCAAAGGACTGAACCAGCAGATCTCGAGATTCATGAAGTCATCATAGCCACCTCACTGTCGACGAAAACATCGTCTATCACTGAAAGCATAGCACCGTTAATATAGAACAAAAGAAGTTGCTGCCTTTTGCTACTGTTAGATAAGGAAAAGCAAACCCAAAATTTATCTTTAGGCCCCAGGCCCCAGCTGATAAATACTACTAGACTTTTAGCTATCATCATCATTGTTTTTCTTTTAAAAAGCATTAGGATAGCCACGTAAACACTCACATGCCACATATGCGCACGACACACACTAATGAAGAAACACGCACCTTGACTCCATAATTACTCTGCTTCGGCTGGTCATGTCCCAGATTGTTTCAGTTTATTCTCTCTCACAAAATACTATTCACGCATTCAAAATAAGTCGTGCTACAGTAGCCATCTGTGCCTTCCGAACGCGGCAGCGGTGTCGGGTCTTTGCTTGTTCCTAAGCATCGCGCCCTTCACACTTCTTTCAAAAGTTCGATGACAAAACTAAAATATAAAAGAGAGTTTATATACCTTCACAGTTCTTCCTGCACGTTATAGTAAAATATAATTTAATCTGGATGACCGTACCCCAGCCCGAAACTTTTTTTTTTGAAAGAGTACGTGTGGTCCTGGAGGCCTGGACCCATTTTATTTGTGCACACTGCACAGCATATACAGTACATGTCACAGCTCACAACCTCGTGCGTTCGATTACGATCAAGGATTTCTACACGCATTACCGCATGACGATCATCGGGTTTGGACCACGGCACGCATGGTCACAAGGCACCACCGCACCAGCACACGCAATGAATCAATCAGAGGTCCTTTGAGGATGCCCACACAAGAGAGACTTCTTCCACCACATCCACGATGCAAAACCAGCGCAGGATCGGGGCCAATTTTCGTGGCAAAAGAGCTACTACGGACCGCGAGAGGACCACCGAAGCATACGAGTTTGCTTCGCTGGACAACAACGGTTTGCCAGAACAGGAGAAGATTCGTCCTCCAAAAAACCAAGGCAGAGAGAATCGTCGGAGTCTCAGAGACGTCAATTGATCTTGAACATGATTCTCTAGCGATCAGGCAATGCAAAGGGGGTTGCTGGGGGTCATTGTCTAGGCAAGAGGATTGGCATTAGCGAAAAAACGGACTAAATAAATCCCGTTTCGTTTTCTATGTTTATCTCGCACGTTTTTGTATTTGCAAAAAGAAAATGTAAAAAGGGGATGCGAAACAGGACGAGGTGTTTTTTATGTGTCTTTGCATGTTCTCGTTTTTAGGTGGGATAGACATGCATTCATCCTGTATTTCGAATACATGATAAGCTTGAGCATTGTTATTATAGTACCTTTCTAAAATGAAAATTATATTTCTACAAGAAATATTAATCAAGAGTTTGGAAAGTCCTCAGTCAGGGGCCCTAAAAATCTTTAGTGGGGACACTTTTAGCAGGGGTGGAGCCTCCCGGAGGCGAAATTGAGTGTTCATCTCTCCTAAAAAAAAGTTAGAATTACTAGTAATTTAGAATAGATGGAGTACAAACTTGATACTATTAAAATTTTAGTCGAATATAATATCTAATTTATAAATTTATAATTATCACCAGGTCACGGGTTCGAAGCAACCTCTTCCGTAGATTTTACGGGGGAAGGCTTGGCCTCAGTTTTTCTTTCTCAGACCCCACTCATGTGGTAGAGCCTCTGGCACTGGATCTGCCCCTTTATAAATTTATAATTATAAAAATATAATGTAAAATAAATGAAAAGTTAAAAAATAATTTAGAAAGCCATGTTTTGTGACTATGACTTACTGGACGGATGAAGTACTTAATAGTTTTTAAAAATATATAGATGTCTGACTTAGAACGGATCTAAAGTTAATATAATTATAGATGGAGGAAATACCGCTAAATAAAAACAATTTCTACTAAACATCCTTCAATCAAAAGACATAAAATTTTAACTCATCGTCTTTCAATAGGCTTTGTTTGGAACTGTTTTGGTGTTCTCATAAGATAAATGCGGAGAAAGTGGAGACAACCAAACGTGGAACAATTCTATGGGCGCCCACTATAGTATAAGGTACGGAGTAGTTACTAGTTTTAAGAAAAAGTTTCAAATGACATTAACTATTGATATTGTCACATAATTTTAAAATACTTGTAAAAATCTAGTTCTGGATCAAGAGATAGATTTTCTTTTCCTTCTATTAAATTAATATTATGCTTAGAGCTGACTCATAAGTTAATATTGGAGTTGTCATAATTTTTATTTAAAGAGTCATTTGAATAAAAATCATTGTCTATATCTTTTCACCTTCTAATAACTTATCTATATCCTATGCATAACCTGAAAGACATCTCGTTCTTTATTTTTGGCTAACCAGAAATTTAAAATAAAACAAAATAACAATTAAAGATCTAATTAAAAAAAGCTGTCTGCGTGGCTGAGGCGGCATGACCTTCACTCGTTTTTTCTTCGTTTTTTCCCCCTCGCTAGCAGTCTAGCACCTGGCTGAGGCGCGGCATCTCCCTAGCTGTCCGCGTCGCTCGCTCCTCTCCCTCCGTCCGCCGCACCGTCGCCGAGCGCCGCCCCGCGCCGGAGACGTCCTGCCTTCTTGCCGCCGACGAGCGCCGCCTCTCTGTTCCTTCCGCGGTTCCGCCCCAGCCTCTGCATCCGAATCTCCCACGAAGCTGTCAAGGCGATGGCGGCGACCGGCGGCGTTTCAACTGACGATGTCCCGATCCTGCAGGCAGAGAACCTCACCAGCAATGTTAAGTCCATCTACTACAGGTCTGTCTCTCTCTTCCTTCCGCCCCCTCCCCATGCTCTCGATCCGATCTGGAGGTGCGCTTAGTTTAATGTTAGGTTTGATCTGGATTTAGCGAGATCTCTTGGACTGGTAGCCTAACCACGGGGTAACTTACGTCCCCCGTATACTGGGGAGTTTTGCTGGTAAAGGTCAGACTATAGATTGTTTTAATGCTGATCAGAGAGGAAGAAGGGAGTTGTGAGTTCATAAATTGAAATATCTTTTCCTACAATTTTGATGTCAAGTTGCAGAGGGATTTAGTAAATTTTGTTATAGGTGAATTGCTCCTTAGATGCCTAGTTGAATCTGCTACTTATAATTAACTGGATCTGATTTGCTCTTCGTGCTATTACATTGCTAGGCCTAGGGACTAGGGATTAAATTCTGCAATGCTTGACAAATAGTGAAGTTCGTACTGTTATCCATGAGCACTGAGCAATTATCTGCTAAGACTTTTGTATTCTGTTAAGAAGTGAGAACTACCCCTTAGATTCGCTAGAGTTGCGAGTTGATACTTGAAATATTTTTTCCTACAAGTTGTGGAGGTCACTTTTGAGAGATTTAATAAATATTAACTGTTTTGTGACCGGTTAGTTGCTCCTTTCTATGTTAAATTATCTGGATCTGCTTTGTTCTCCATGCTATTACATTGCTAGGCCTAAGAACTAGGGATTGAATTCCATGATGCTTGATGAATAGTGAAGTTCATGCTGTTATCCATGAGCACTGAGCAGTTATCTGATATGAATTTTTAATTCTGTTGAGAGGTAAGAACTACCCCTTAGAACCGCTAGGCACGTTCAGTGTTCAAAGGGTTTTGTGGTTTTAGTGTTGCGCTTGGCCATAAAGGGTTTTTATTCTTTAGCATGCTTTGCAGAGAATATTCACACTTTAATGAGTATAATAGGATCAACTGAACATGTTCATAGTATTCCTTATAAACAGGTTTAAGGCACAATGTAAAACTCATGAAGATATTATTTTTTGTGTGATGACATACCCCTCAACTTCCCCTTATTATGTATCATTAGGACCTCATATGTTGAATATGCCTGACTGATTTGCTATTTTAACTATGGTGGTTTATCCTAAACATGAGGTATTTTCATGTTACAGTCGAACATTCTTGTCGATCATTGGTGGAGTTGTTGCTGGAATCTGGGGATTCACAGGCTTGACGGGATTTGTCTTCTACTTTCTGATAATGATGGTTGCATCTATTGGGCTCTTAGCGAAGTCAAAGTTTTCAGTCCAGACATACTTCGATAGTTGGACCAGGATTTCAATTGAAGGAGTTTTTGGTGGTCTTATGGTAAGCCTCGTTTACTGCCATGTCATATTCTGTTGCTTATCATGTTGTTTAATGATGTCCTAATACAGTGCAATTTCCTTTGCAGTCATTTGTGCTGTTCTGGACGTATCCTTTTTCTTTGATAATTTATAAACAGTCTTGTCCATACTCTATTTCTGTTCTTCATGTGCTTATATAGATATAGGCTGAATATTGCATACAGCTGGGATGGTAAACCAACATATTCAAACTCTACTGGTTGCATATTGGGTAACATACTGCTATAATCTAGTGACTGAAAGCCTACCAACGAATATTTCAGATTTCTGTTTACTGCTGCCATTAAATTTGTCAAGGTGGAATATAAATGAAAATTCAATATTTTAGACAATCATACAAACCAATCCCTGAACCAGCAAAGCAGTTTATTTTCCTAATCACTAAACATGTTTATGCATCTTTCCTGTCTATATTCAACTGTTTCATTGTTGGTCCTTTTCTGCTGGAGTTCATCCTTGACGAGAGATAGATTTGCTTATGACATTGTTCACATCTTCTGATGGACATAGAAAGATCTACACTCCAAAGAAAATGCAGAATTTCATATGATGTTGAACATTCCCAATGGACTCTTGTACACTCAATTTTTGTATTGGTAGTTGATATATTCTGTAGTGAGACTATCAATGTAGGCCTAAGCTTGAGCTCATGAACTGATGTAGCAGTTTTGTCAGTGTTTTCGGACCACCGACTAGTAAATTTGTATTTGCGTGTCTGGCTTGGATGGTGTGCTCGGAGGACACAAGGGTTTATACTGGTTCGGGCGGAACGTCCCTACGTCCAGTTTGCTGCTGCTCGTGTTACCGACACTTGGTTTGCAGTAGGGGTTACAAACAGGTGAGAGAGGGACAAAATCCTAAGTCTCTAGTGGAAGGAGTGAATGGGTGTTGAGAGCTCGCTTGCCACTTAGCCGTGTGCTCGTGTCGTGCTCTTGTGTCTAGCTCCACTTTCATGGGGAGCCCTACTTCCCTTTTATAGGTGAAGGGAAAGCGCGGGTAACAGAGGAGGAAAAGGAGAAGAACGAGAGAGAAGAAGGCTTCCAGGGTTGTCTGGTCCTTTATGCGGGTCCCGTTGATCCTGTAGATGTCAACAGGGATGGATCTATGTCGTGGCCCTGTTCGTTAATAGCGCCATGCGCAGGCGTCATCTGTTGGTCATGGCGTTCCACTCCGTCTCGGCGGACGTCGTGGTGAACTGACGCGCCTGTTAGCGTCTGTACGAGGATTAGGCAGAACAACACCAGCACGTCCAACACTGTTCTTGATGTGAATCCCTAGATATGGCTCGTCATGGTCACGGGTTACATCGAGGCGTGCCAGCCTCTTTCCTGGCGTAAAGAGTTTTGATTCAGGCCCCATACGCTTGGATCTGGAGTGGTTGCTGACGGTATGGGTCCCCGTCGGACGAGACGGAACTCGCGTCCTCGAGGTCGGGCGAGACGGAAACCGCATCCTTAGAGTCGGGCGAGACGGAGCCCGCGGCCTCGAGGTCGGGCAAGACGGAGCCCGCGGCCTTGGGCCCACACCCAAGGGGTCGGACGAGACGGAGCCCGTGGCTTCGAGGTCGGGCAAGACGGAGCCCGCAACCTTGGGGTCGGGCGAGACCTTTTAATACGTCTCGAGCCATCCGGGGAAGCCAGCGTGGGTGCTAACTTTCTTGCTTTGGGTATCTCTATATCGATACCCGATAGTGGCCCCCGAGCCTGCGGAGGAGTAGAATACTCCTTTGGAGGCTTTTCCGGACGGGAGGACTCTGAGGGCCTTGGCCTATTTTTTAGCCCGCGGCATGTCCTGGTAGGACGGCGATTCCCTTTTATCGCTATTGGTCTTCTTGGGGGCATGTAACCGTTGGATTCGGGAGGTCGGAAAGATTTTTCTTGATTCCGGTCCCTAGGATCCGATCGGTCCGCCGTCGTACTACGACCGCGTGTTTGATCTCCTTGCGAGTCCAACTTCCCTCGAGCCCTCGCGCGTAGCAGGAGTCCGATCGAGGGTCGGCTCGTCTTTGTGATCGTCATCCCTCAAACGTTTTTTCGATAAAATGGAGGGGCTGAGCTGTGCCATGTTTTTCCTCGATGAACGAAACATGGTGCTCGGTGAGCTGTTAACGGGCTAGTCCGAGTGGGGCCCTGACTTCCCGTTTGCGGGGGTCCGACATGTGTCAGCTGGTGACCGACTCTAGATTCTCAGTGGCCAATCCATATAGTTCTTAGGTCCATTTAACCGGTCCCAAGGGCTCGTTGCCTTTCTTTGAGAAAAAACCATGGACTGGGAACCGACCAAGACTCGAACGTGGGCCGAGATGCCCGCGACGCTCGTGCGCCCGGGGTACTGGCTGCTAGTGGGCCTGTCCCTTTCCACCCCTCACTCTAAGGGCACCCCGGAGCAACTGTGAACCCGTCGGAGGGCCGGCCTTCGAACTCTTGGTCCTAAATGGACCGTAGGGGCGTTTTAGCTCTGTATCCCTCCTTACCTGCGACGGTTCTTGGCCCATCGACCAGGCGAACCGTCATCTGGTGTGTCCTTCGAGGGCACGACCAGAGATAGCGCGCACGATCTTCGGAGGCAGGTGACGTGACACGGCGCAGCAGGCGCGTGAACCTAGGTGGGCGGTTCTCCTTCTCACCCCGCTCCGTCCTATAAATAACGGCCTCCCCCTTCATTTTTCTGCACACCAAGCCACAGCCTTACCTTCTCCGTTTCTCCGCCGCGCCGCCGTTCGGATCTGCCATGCTTGCTAATCCGCCGCCAGAGCCCTAGATCTGTAGCTTCCGCTTCTCCGCCGCCGCCTTTGCTTCTCCGCACCGCCTCCATGGAGGGCCTCGTCAAGCGTGGTCTTCTCCGTGGGAGGACCGATGCGGCGGAGTGGCTTGTGCCCGGCCGTGAGGATGCGCCGACGCCGCCCGACGGCTACGTCGTCTCCTTCGCGCCCTTCCACGAGCGTGGACTCGTGGTTCCTCACCACCCGTTCTTCCAGGGTCTACTGCACCACTATCAGATCGAGCTCCAGCACTTGAACCCCAACAGGATCCAGCACATCACGGCCTTCATCGTGATGTGCGAGGGGTACCTAGGGATCGAGCCCTATTTCGAGCTGTGGAGATATTTTTTCTCCATCTCCTTGATCAAGAAGGAGAGAGGCCGGGAGACCTCGGTGCCGATGGGATACGCGAGCATCCACCTTTGGGGGCAGCGGGCGGCCGAGTACATGCCCTGCTAGCTCTCTAGATCCAACAAGGGGTGACACTCGCATTGGTTCTACCTGAAGAACGACCCTGCCGCTCCCTTGCCGGTCTTCTCCGGGCGCCTAGTCGAAGAGGTGCCGCCGTCATGGCCATGGGGGCCACCCGTCAAGGAGAAGAAGAGGATGTGCGACCTCCTCGAGGCCATCGCATTCCTGAAGACCCACGACCTCCACGGGGCCGGCATCATCGGGGGGTATCACGCGAGGAGGGTGGCGCCACTGATGGCGCGCGTCCTCCCGTTGTACGGGATGACACCCGACGCGTAGCTCATTGGGACGACGCTTGCCCAGGGGCTGCTTCGCGACAGCGAGGTCACGCAACGCATCAAGGAGGCCACGGGGGAGGCCGACGTCGTGTTCCTGATGCCGGGGCATCTCGTGATGCGACCGGACGCGGGCTTCATCGAGCTGCCGGTGGGGTTAGTCTTCCGGGACTCTGTCGCGTTGCTACCAGAGCACGCGGTCGTGAGGGCGGCGAACCGTGCCATGGATGAACAAAGGAAGAAGAAGCACAATGAGGAGAAGAAACAGCGGCGAAGCAGCGAGCGAAGCTGCAGCGAGGGAAGCAGCGTCAAGGTTCGTCGGGAGAAGAGGAGGAAGAAGAGGAGGAGAAGGATGACGGCTCCGGGTCACCCATCCTGTGGGATGATCTGGCCGCTGGGGACGAGGAACCGCCTTTGCCGCAGGCGGGGCCCTTCCTGCGGCATGCCACGGGGCAGGAGAGGGAGGACGCGTCCCCGGCGCCGGCGAAATCAATCCACCCCGCCCCGTCCGGACCTTCGATGGCGGCCTCGGAATCGGCGGAATCGGGCCGCCTCGCCTTGTCTGGGCCTTCAACGGTGGCCTCGGAGCCGACGGAATCAGACCGTCCTGCACCGTTCGGGCCGTCTATGGTGGCCCCGAAGCCAGCGAAAATAGGTCGCCCCGCTCCATCCAAGCCCTCGACGGCGCCTTCGGAGTCGTCGGGAGGCGACCGTTCTGATTCGTCCGAGCCCTCCCAGCCGAGGGAGGGCTCGAAGCGGCAACGTGACGACGAGGAGCAGCCGGGGTCAAGCAAGCCGGTCCCAAAACATCCTCGCATGATGGCGTCAGGGTGAGTCAAGAGTTTTTTTGTCCTTTTGTCTTAACGAATTTTTGTCGCGAACTGACCGCCATGTCCCTTGCAGCGTCGGAGGACGTGGGACTCTCCTACGGCTCGCTCTGAAAAAGATCATCCTCCAGCAAACGCGCTAGGAGCCGGCTGGTGCCGCGCTGGTGGTGAGCGTGAGTGGCGTTGGGGTGGCCACGGCGTCGACCGGTGAGGCACAACCGATGGCTGCGTCCATGGGAGAGCAGGCGGAGGAGGGCGTGTCCGGGGCGCCCGTGGCGGGCGTGGCGCGGCCGGTCGTGTCCTCGACGTCGTAGGCGGAGGTGGCACGACTGGAGCCGTCGTCCCTGCAGGTGGCCGTGTCTGCAGCAGGTGGACGGAAGGGGGCGTACTCGAGGCATCCTTCGCGGATGTGGCGACAGGGCAGGCCTCCGTGTCCGTGTCACCCACCCCCTCTATCGCTAGAGGAGCCGCTCTGGAGGAGCTGCCGCCGCAAGAGAGGTCGGTGTCGCTTGAGGTCGGCGTGGGGACGTCCCAGCCTCTGGTCCATGTGGCTGCCCTCGATGACGCAGCAGAGGAGAGGGAATGGGGGAGCGTCCACACGGAGGTTGGGGACGCGGTTCACGCCCTG